CCAGCCCCTGCTATGGTGTAAAGCTTGTTGTGTGGGTGCCACCTTTGTAGAGAGACTGTGTGGCAAAGAATGAAGTCCATAAAGTGTACTTCATGCAACTACTCACTACTGATGCAGTCTACTGAATCTTAAGTTTGACTTCCTCCACCCATATAGAGTGTATACTTTGCACAATAGTCAGTGCCACATAATAGCAACATATAGCTAAACTGTGAGCATTAATACACTAGGGCCAAACAAATGGTGAGCACGTTTTTAGATGAGATTTTGGAAAGGGCCCCACCACTTTTGCCATAGTGTAGGTTCAAAGTAGTCAATAAGTCTAGTTATGTATAAGTTATATGGGTAGGAGACGGCTTAATTAAAAAAAAAAAAACACACTACAAATCCCAGTGCATCACTTAATGCATTTGAAACTATATCTATCTAAATCCACGAAGTGTGCACCTCCTTGAAATGCTTAGCTTGGATAGTTTTTAGTATAGAAACAGTGATTAACCTTTTTTTCCTGGTTCCTTATCCTCTCTGTGCCAACACCACAGAAAATGAGGCTGCAAAAAAGTTAATGAAATTAATATTTTTGTCACATTATTGAAGCCAAGAGTTTAGAAACATTAAATAGTTGTATTTAGACAATAAAAGCATGAAGAGTTAACCACTTTAAGGGATACAAACTTTCATGTTTAAAGACACAAGTAAGCCATTTTTTACTAGATTCAGGTAGAAATTTTATCTGGAGATAAGTTATTCCATACTTGAGTTACTGGGTCTTGTATCTGGCTCTGACCACAGTCAGATAAGATACTGGACTAGGTAGACCACTGATCTGACTCTGGCACTTCTGCACATTACTGGGCACTTAATGTTTGTTATTGCTACAGAATGGCTTCCAGATCCTGTTGCACTTGGCACACCTGCAGAACTTAGTTATTCAAATAGCAGGATGTCCTCTGTTAATGGTCTCTCTCTAATCCCCACAGCTGGATACAGGGAAAACCTTCCACGCCCTCATGAGGTTTGACACGGATGTGGAGCTCACTTATTTCCGCAATGGTGGCATCCTGAACTACATGATCCGTAAAATGGCGTCCTAATTTAAAGCAACAGCAAGCAACTGTCCAGTTAGAAACCTGCCTTTGATGGCCACATGAAAATGCCCAATAATCACGGAACTTAGAAGTCTAAACCATGAAATCAGTTGTTTCCTTGTGGACTGTATTCCCCAGGGGCTTGTTTACAAAGGTAGAATATGTTCAGTTTCCTGACACAATCATTTATTTTTCCCAATTAAATACCTGTTATTTTTTTGTATGGTGACTAGATTCACTATTCTAGTATGGGGCGATGCAGAAAGTGGATCTGTAAACACTGCCAAAGCCTGTTCTGTAACAAGTGGTGATTTGTACATGGTGCATTTAGTTTGATGATACCTATCAGTCAGATGAGTATAGTACTGTACTCATCTTAGTTTCCCAGAAACTGACAGGGTACACTGGGATTTTAACCCCCTTCCTCTCCCTCCCCCCCAATCTGGATTAAGTGTCAGAGGTTGGCTCTTTCCTATTTAAGCAGCATTTGATCAGAATCCCTCTCTGAGAGGCTAATGCTGAAATTAGTAAATTGCTTAGCTCGCTCTTAATTACAAAATGTGAATTATCTTCCTTTAAGAACATCTTCTCTAAGCACTAGGTTTCGTTGTGACAGTGGACCTTTTGGGGGACAAATTTCTAAGAGATTAAAATCTATTTTCAAAAAAGTTTGACCATAGCATTGGACTTTCTTTGCATACTTATTTATCTTCAGCAATAGGGCAATAGTATGTTTGAGAAGTACAGTTTGATGATGTTTCTTCAGTGATAAACATCCAACCTACAAACTACTTACAGGTAAGTAGTAACTACTGCTATTACAGAAATACTGCAATATTTTGTAATGCTAATATTGCTAGAAGAATATTGTTTGACTCTTTGAAGACTCCACGTTTTGGTTCTAAATAAGTGTCTAATACCTACACATGAACTCATGAGACCTCGCTGCATACACACTGGGTGTAGTGGCTTCCAAAACATAGTCAGTGTTACTAAAGAGGCTCCTGACCTATTACCATTTAGTTACTCAGCAGGGGGTGGGGACACTTTCATAGATTTTTAAAGCCATAATGAGGGACTGTTGTGACCACCTGCATCAAGCCTATAACCTCTTATTTGAATTAGAACATCTTTGGGCTGGTCTTCATGGTGTGGTAACATGCACTTAGTTTGTGTGCATGGACCCTGCTAGTGTGCTTTAGTGTAGTACAATTTCTAACTTTGTAGTAACAAAGATTGGCAGAAGTAAGTTGTGACGGGTTGGATCACAGAAACCCCCTTGGGAACCATCAACTGATGTGCCAAGACTACTACTGCAGCTGCTTTCCCTGCCAGCTTGGGACTCCAGCACCCTATCTTGTTGAGCCAGACACACCAGTCTGCTCCAACACAGATGCAGGGTCTGAACCATGTGCCCCAAAGCTGCAGACTTAAAGACAGGAACACTTCTTAAGCTGCTTTCAGTTAACACTCAGATGCCCAACTCCCAATGGGGTCCAAACCCCCAAATAAATCCATTTTACCCTGTATAAAGCTTATGCAGGGTAAACTCAAATTCTTTGCCCTCTATAACACTGAGAGAGTTATGCACAGCTGTTTGCCCCCCCCAGATATTAATACATACTCTGGGTTAAGTAAGTAAAAAGTGATTTTATTAAATACAGAAAATAGGACTTAAGTGGTTCCAAGTAGTAATAGACAGAACAAAGTGAATTACCAAGTAAAATAAAATAAAACACACAAGTCTGACTAATACAGTAAGAAAATGGAGCACAGATAAAAACCTCAACCTTAGAGGAATTCAAGTAAGCTTCCTTTTACAGATTAATTAGTCTCCTTCTTCTAGTCTGGGTCCAGCAATCACTCACAGCCCCTGTTAGGGTGACCAGATGTCCCGATTTTTGGGTCTCTTATATAGGCTCCTATTACCCCCCCACCCCATCCCGATTTTTCCCATTTGCTGTCTGGTCACCCTACCCCCTGTAGTTACTGTCCTTTGTTCCAGTTTCTTTCAGGTATCCTTGGGGATGGAGAGGCTCTCTCTTTAGCCATCTGTAGACAAAATGGAGGGGTCTCCCACAGGCTTAAAATAGACACTCTTGCAGGTGGAGACCCCTCTCCTATGCAAAGTCCAGCTCCAAGATGGTGTTTTGGAGTCACATGTCCAAGCATGACTTATTTTTTACAGGCAGCAGGAATGGCTTACCTGCTATCTTGAAGGTCCTCATGTAGACGACTTGTGGATCCGAGCCTCCCAAGATCCATTAAGTGCTTCTTGATTGGACACTTAATTTGCACATTCCTTGCTCAAGAAGCTGACCAAATGCTTTACAAAGGCTACTTAAAAATCAAGCCAGTGCCCAGCCAATATTCAGGACTTCGAATACAAAAGTGATACATGCACACAAATAGGATTAATAGATTCAATAGATCATAGCCTTTACTCAGATGTGTTACATGGTGGTATACATTCATAAGTATATTTCCATAAAGCCTTATGGGGGGCACTGTCACATAAGTATAAGAAACACACTGGCTTTTATTAATGGAAACTTTCTAAACTCCTAAAGCAGGAAAGTAATGGTGTAACAATGGAAATAAATGCTCCCGTTCAATCTTCTGACTAACACTTCAAATTTTGCTGCAGGAAGCAACCAGTTTGTAGAAAGACTGTTTTAATGATGGAATACTAATCACACTTCCATTAAAGTTATTTTATTTAAATGCATCTGTTTTCATGAGGAATTAAAACAGAGCATTACTGTCTACTTAAATTTATTGTGCTAATTAGTAGTTAGCAGTGCAGATTGTTAAACAGCTGCCAATCACCACTATAGAGAAAGTTTTCCTCCTAAAGTAAATTGCTTAAGTTGAAAACAAAGGAACTGTTTATCCTTGTCTGTTATGATACAGACAAACAGTGGATTTCAGTTGTCTAATGAGAGGGATGAAGCTAACCTCTTGCAGGTATAAATGGGAGATCTTGGTTTTACTTTAAATCAGTTCTGGCTAGACCTGCCTCCCACTAGGAGACTGAGTAGCAGCAGTTGCAGAGGAGGTAAGTGGCTTCATTTTGTTAAGCCTAACATTTCTGAACCGGATTTTTTTAAATCTAAAGTGTGTTTGTTCAGTTAAACAAAAATTATCCAGCTCTTCTCACAAAATACTAAATTAGGGACCAAGCGTAGTCTCGAAATCCAGAAAGTTGAATCTCTTAAATCGGACTTCAGTTCCTTACTGTGAAGGAACCAATCTACCTTGTATTTCACCTGTAAACAACTCTACATCCTAGCATAAATGAAGTCTGGGGGCAAATTGAATGTTAAGATTTAATGAGTTCAGGCTCCATAAAGTGCAACATGAACAAATAGCAATAAAACAGATAAATCCAATCAATGCAAAACACATGCAACTTCAACTGTTCACTTGTAGAATTCCACATAAATATCTACACATTTTAGCTAATAAGTTTTGATTAGGCATTCAAATTTGTTTTTTCCACACACTACACAAACTATTTTGCAGAGGTGAAGACTTAACTAAGCATGCCATCAGAATACAAATTAGGGAGTGCTCTAAGTAGTCTATTGGAGTGACATGCGTATACTCCCTCTTCATTATTTAAGAATGCCAGACCGTTAAGACTTTTTTTGCCCATTTTATCGAATCAGCCATGGCATGAAATAAAATAATTCCTAGAGCGTTATTAGTCTTCATCCACTTGGAACTCTGAGTACAAAATAAGGTGCAACCTTCAGAATAATAGATTACTAATGAAAGACTGCAGAGCCCTCTTTAAGCAAGTGCTGCCATTTACCCATTCTGCATATAATCTATGTGACACTTGTTAGGAACATGCATTTGTGTACCTTGAAATAAATCACCCAGTAAGGCGGTGATGAACCAGTTGTTACTCACTCTGTGCTGGACATTTCATTAATGTCAAATTCCTTCATTGCGAAATCCACCTCTCTCCATTTCCGGAAAACTGCGAGTTTCCCAGTTGTAATATCCTTCACCACAAAGCTTTCAATTTTGATCACTGGGAGGTCATCGAATGCCTTGTACCTCACTGTGATGCCCCAATCATGCTGGCACTTGGAGTCCCGGCAGGACATTTTACATTTCTTCTCAAAGTGGTCATAGCGGCTTGGTTTTTTGTGAGGCTTTGTTAGAAAACGTTCCCGAAACAGGGCACCTAAGACGGTGTGGTGAGCCTTCTAAAATGACAGTAAAAATATTAGATGCAGCTTAATACCAGAAATTTATCATAATTTTTAACGTCTTACATTTCCATTTGTTGGTCTTCATATGCTGATGTTACACAACTACCAAGGGAGTTCTGCCTTGGTCACTTGGTTTAAACTGTAAACGACTATACAAAATAGCTTGAGTTGCAGTAGCACTTATGGAAAAGGAAATTCCCTTACAAAAAAAGTAATGGAGATGATAGTCACTCATCCCCCTTCTCACACGAAAATTGTAAAACCAAATGTAATTTGCAAGGATTGGTGAAGTCTCAGTTAAGAGTTTGTGAAAACGTATTTGAGTCTACTCTTATAAATCTCCAATTAAATCTTTCCTTGTGTGGTACTACAATGCACAGCCATCCTTAAAAGGGTAAGAATAATTTTTAAAGGACTGTGTTCCATCGTCCCTAATGTCGGTTACTGCCTCGCTGGGGAGCTGGATGGAAACTCCAGGGAGTTTCTAGCTGCAAGGCTCCCCCTTTATGGTACTGGGGGAGGAGGGTCAGTCCCCTACAGAACCATAGAGACAGGAAGTTCAGAGCCAGAACCCTGCTTCTCCTTGCTGCTTCCTACCCCCACACCTCTCTGCTACTGGAACAAACAATCGAGACACAGCTAGTGCCCATCTGTGATTTCCTAGTGCTAAAGCATGTACAGCTGGGTGGCATAAGTGAGACTGCAAGTCAGTTGTGGGGATTTTTAAACAAGGAGCAGTAGCTCACCGAGCAGTGGGGACTCAGCCAGAGCACAGCTTGGAAACCACCCGTTTGCAGCACATGGAATACCCCAGGTATGGAAAACCCAACATCAATGCTTAGATTTTCCTGATGTCAAGGTGCAGAGCTGCCCAGCTGACTTTCCCAACCTCAGTGGGTGGGAGCAGAGCATGACTGAGACCCTTGGGTCACCATAGGCAGCCCCATGAAAAAATGTGAATAATGCCCAGCAGCAGTTCTAAAAAAGCAAAACAAACATTACACCACCGAAGGAATGATAAGGAAAATAATCCTGAAAAGGACAGTGCTACTCCATAAAGCAATGATATACGTCTTCTCCTGGAATGCTGTGCTCTGCTATGGGTGATGAAATTCATCTGAGGACTAGAGAGACTTCCTTAGGAGGAGTGATTGAGAAGATCACAACTGTTCATTTTAGCGAGGAGATAAAGAAGGCAGCGCTATGAGAGGGCTATATAAAATATTGAATGGTATAGAGAAAGTAAATAACGCACTCCTATATAGCGTCTGTCATGATAGAAGAACAAGGGGGAAGCCAATGAAACTGAAAGGTAATGCAGGTAATGGATTTTTTTTTTTCCCTACAATGCATAACCAGCCACTGGACATCAACTCAGTGCTAACCTGCAGCAAAGAGCTTAGCAGAATTTTTTAAAAGTAACCTGTGGGTGGAAAGTGAACATCCAGTTACATTAAGTCTTCAGGTACCATGTATATTGTAGATGTATAATATGAACAGGTGTGGTTATACAGGTGGGTGGTTTGTTTAGATATCGATATTTCCTGTTTGTCTACAGTTACAAGCCAATGGATCATGATTGAGGATAAACATACATAAAGTAGGATTAAAAAAAAAATCTAAACTACTGTTTGAGTGCAAGTTAAACATTAACAGCCTGGGCTTAGGAAGAAGTTTCTCCTATGGGCTGTTGTTCCCTAATTGTACATTACATTGATTCTTGCACCTTTCATTGAAATATTTGGCACTGTCCACAGGATGAATCACAGGTGTGATGTGTTACTTAAGTTCCTATGTCCCATTCTGCATCAAACTGGTCATTTTAACTTCCACCACATATGTAACCCTAACATTGGACTGGTAACGAACTATTTGCACAGCGTAACATTCACAGATTCCTAAGCTATACGCTTACCTCTATTACCCGGATGTCTTCTGTGTTACAGGCATATGCTTTGCATTTCCCACAGAGCAACTGTCTATTGCCCTCCAGGGGCTTTTGTTTAATTTCTCTCTTTCTGGAATCTCGCAGGGTCTTTTCCTTGTTTTGCAGGTCATTTATCTATAAACCAAAGCATTAGAAACAAATGGATTATCATGCTCTTCAAAGAAACACTGAGGGCCAGAGGCTCAGCTGATGTCGATCTGTGTAGTGACAGTGAAGTCAATGGAGCGATGCTGATTTATACCAGCTGTAGACCTGGTCCTGAAAATGGTGGTTGTGGTGGAATTCAAGCTCCTCTTTGCTATTCCTTATGAAAATGTGACTCAGTCTCAGGTCTAATAACTCTCCCCAACGGACCCCACACCTATTCTTTTCAGAATTGCAAACTCCAGTTATCCCCACGTATTTTCCACTTCTACTGCAATTCTTATGCATCTACGATGGGCAGCCTGACATCCAAGTCTCTTTTTAGCAGAAATATGAAGCCAGCACCTGTCTGAGATGGTCACTGATGAGTGAAGAGCATTGGGGGGAGGGAAAAAAAAACCTCTCTCTCACTTCCAAGCATGCTCAGGACAGATTTTTGTGATGTCAGAGCCCCGAGGCTCTGACATCACAGTGCTCACTACAATGCAATACTGTCTCATAGGCCAAGATCCTCATCTGCTGTAAAGCCACATGGCCCCACAGACAATGTTTGACACCTGCTGCTTTTCATCTCTGCGGTAGTTGCAGTTAAACAATGGTCAAAGTTAATTTTGGCATTGAAGTGGATAGAGCTTTGCGGATTGAGTCTAGCCCAGACACCACTACTGGGACAATTTGCATGAAGGAGAGCACATCTCTGACCTTCTCCACACTGGAGACTTTTCCAGTTCTAAGATGTATGAGATACTCCCAGGATACTTATAAAGCCCGTGGTTTATGTGAATGTCAAATATTGTCTGGACTAGCTGCCTTGCAGTGCACCTGACCACCATTCCAGTGCCTGTGAGGATGGAAGGGAATGGCATAATCACGCAAACCATTCAAAGAGCCATCCCCGTACAGTCCCAACCTGCTCACCAGTGGTGCTTTGAAATCTCCTAGAATCCACTGCTCCAGGGAGCTGTGAAATCAGTAGCCAAAGGCTACTGCACCTGAAACAGGACATTGCTAGTGTAGACCCAGCAAATCTGGAATGGTTCAGAACATGAATCGGAATACCTAGTGTGGACACAATGAACTACTTGGCCTTAAACTAGTTTTGGTCATCAACTCAGAAATTTTTTCAGTGCTAATAAGCCCACCCACAGCCCTACGCAGAGATGCTAAAAATAAAATAAGTATGTCCATCTATTGCTATGCAAACAGGTCTCTAGAACACCCACTTTGACCACCAATGCTTCGCAGCTACCATTGGGGTGAAACAGCGGCACACAGCAACACTACACAATGAATTAGCACATACAGGGGGAAATGTATCCCTCCCCCTGGCCCCTGGTGCACAGGTTCAGCACAAGGCCTCAAGTGGCACACAGGCCTTGTGCCGTGTCTGTGCACAGAGTGAATTTCACCCTAAGTGAATACGTGGTGCAGCTGAGAGAGCCCAGTGACAATGGCCAATTTAGGTTGTCTCTGATTCGGACCATGCAGAATGGCAGCGAGTGGACCCACCTTCCTTGCGAACTTTTCCTCATCCCACTCCTGCAGCTGCTTGATGGCTTTGTTCATCATCTCCTCCTTATAGATATTGTTTCTCTCATTCTCAGCCACTTCGCTTTTGCTTGTCACAAGGATGCACTTGCTGTCTTTTGCCCTTCCACGACCTGGGGGTGACAGGTAGCCCTTTTATAAGACTCTATAGAGAACAGAGCAAAACAGCAGCCAGGCTGTGCCACGAAGCATGGATCTCAATGCAGGCATAGAGACATTGGAAACGTTATGCTTCTGCATGGTTCCTTATGTGGCCCTTGCCCATTCCCAAGCTACAGCAACTAAACATGCTTAGAAAAGCCTCCCAATTAAAATTCACTGGGCCCAGGCCCTCTTAATCCAAACAAGCACACACATTCTATGAAGTTTTGAAGTTACAAAGACCCCACCCTATTTTGTATGTGTTCTCTGTCTGTACTGTGTTACACATTGGTGCACGAGGCCTTCAGGGGTGATTAGCTCAGACATTTTGTGGCCAGCAACCACTGTATATCGTTTCTTTTAGAAAGATCCATAAGGCTAGGTGAGGATCAAGACTGAGATGAACATCCATTAGTTACCTGTCCCGTTCAGGGCCGCCGCCTGCCCGCCCCCCGAGCACGGCAGGGGAGGGTGGCCGGGGCTCCGCTCTCCCCGACCGGCCAGAGCGCTGGGGGGAGGGAGGGGAAAGCGGGGCGGTGAGCCCGGCCGGGGCTCCGCTCTCCCCAACTGGCCAGAGCGCCGCGCCGCCCCCCTCCAGGTGCCGCCCCAAGCACTAGCTTAGTGGGCTGGTGCCTGGAGCTGGCCCTGGTCCCGTTGTTGGATTCCCATCAAAATGAAAACTGATAGTTGACAGTAGGAAATACTATTAGGGGGAAGGATTGTCTCTTCACTATGTATTTTTTCAATGCCTAGCATAATGCAGCCCTAATCTCAACTGGGGTCTGGTTCTACCGTGATACAAACTAAGAATAATAAATAATAATTCATAGGATTCCCATGTTGTCCTATGCTTTTAAAAAGGGGGTTTGTTAGAACTAACCATTACTCACATTTAGTTTGAGTTGCAAAAATTTTAAGGAGTTAACCTGCCCAAAGCAACAGAGAGTCCTGTGGCACCTTCAAGACTAACAGATGTATTGGAGCATAAGCTTTTGTGGGTGAATGCCCACTTTGTCGGATGCAACATTCACCCACGAAAGCCTACGCTCCAATACATCTGTTAGTCTTGAAGGTGCCACAGGACTCTTTGTTGCTTTTTACAGATCCAGACTAACACGACTACCCCTCTGATACTTGACAACCTGCCCAATTTCTTTTTCAGGTATTTACAACAGCACTTGTAGCAAGAGAGATTTTTCCCTCACACTTTAAGTGTCTAATTTTGGGGTAATTATTTAATACAAAAATACGTAACAACGAAACTATGCCATCGAGTGTCTGATATAAACCCCAAAAGCCAGGAGCTCACTCAATGAAAGGTCCATTTAAAATGAGTAAAATAAGTTTCACAATAGCATTGAATTTCATAGCCTGACTACGTGCTCAGATCACAAAATTAAATATCGCAGCAGAATTTTTATAAGGGCTGGGTAATTTTACTTTTTCCCTTTTGTAGCTGAAAGTGTAACCCACATTTAGAGTAGGACTCTCTATCCCCCTCTAGTGGCTGGACTACATAGTGGTTTATGAGCACTGCATTCTTTGCATTAATAGTGTCTTTTAGCTTAGACAGTAGACACTTGTTTTTTAATCTAGGAGTCCCAGGTTTAAACCACACTTCCAATAATCCACCTGAGGGCACTATATTACACAAGTTTAAGGACAGATTGTGCCCATATGCGTAGAGGGGCCAAGCCATTATGCGAGACTCCCTAATGGAGTTTCTTCTGAATTCTCCATGGGGACATGTTTTGCAGAATTTCCAGTTGCACTTGCAAGTAAATAGAAATATGCACAGAAGAATAATTTAATGGCATGCACAAATGCACACTTAAGAGATGTTCCTTGAATGTGTAGCACCATCGTGTGATGTGTATAATTTACTTACACACACACACACACACCCTAAATCAATGGCTCTTCCGTCCTGTGACAAACTGACATCAAGACTTGTCCTGCCCCTTCATTCAGCTGAAAGCACTCAGAGGCAGAGAGAAATAAGAGTAAGATACACACACAAAGCTTAAAGTAAAGTAAACATGACAGCCAGTCAGAGAGGCCGACGGGGGTATTTTCTAGACCTACACCATATTCACATGATAATAGTTTAAGTTCCGGTGACACATACCTCGGACTTGGATCATTTTGGTGACGTTGCCAGAGTATTCATAGAGGAGAACCAGGTTGCACTGAGCAATATCAATCCCTTCATCTGCGACTGCTGTAGTTATTAGTATCTTACTGTCGCCGTTGGTTTTGAATGAGTCCAGTACGTCCTTTTGATTTGAGAGGGTCATCCCTACAGTACAAAAAAGTCAGAATACAAAATGCACGGCGAGATGCTGAAAAGTTCCTAACTCAAATCATACACATAGCCTTGCAGTCAGTACCAAAAGTCAGTCTGTTTGCTCTGGAGACTGTGAAAGAAATGCCTCAAATCAGGATACACAGCTGCCTGCTTGAGGACTAGAAAGCTGCACAATATCTAACAAAGAGGGACTCTTGTTAAGGTGTCACACTGTGAATCACTTTGGCAAGCGACATTTTACACTTCCCCAAGTGTTTGAAGTTGTCCTTTTAAAAACTGGTTTGTTTTAATGAGATCCTGTTCCCTGGCTATTTTAAAACTCAGATATTCTCAAAATAAGTCAGATTTACTCTGTTTGGTGCAGTCAAGTATTTAAACGTGTGTTTACCTCCAACCACAGGGAAACTCAGTGAGCCACAAATGAGGCAGGGAACACCCACTGCATCGCTCTGAGTAAAGAGAAGAGGAGGGATTTTTTTAATATTATCTAGCAGAACTGTATAGCAGAGCATTGTTGCTAATGCACCTAGCATTTTAATCAGAGGTTTTGACAGGAAAAGCAGGAGTCCGTTTAGATGTGGTAAAATCTCCTGTACATTTCATATCCCTCCCTAATATTGATGCAGAAACTGTAGTATTGGCTTGGGCATTTGCTTGTTGGCCTGTCCTGGAACATGGAGATTGACTACAGAGATAATACAATAATTTAAGTGGTCTGGGAACA